CGTGCGTCCAACGGACTATCGAGGAGTAGCCACTAAAATAGAGAGATGAGCCCTAAGAACCTGACTCATACGTTTGTGTGTAAGGCCTCCTCTCACGTAAGCAAGGAGGCTTGTTTACACCTGAACGTCCCCTAGACTAGAGAGACTGTACAATAAAATGCAATGCAGAACAAATATAAATCTTTTTGTCAAACTGATTTTTTAGATGAAGGTTTTTAATAAAGAAACTTTTTAGTTTTTATTCCACTTACCTACCACAGAATAGCGTTATTTTTCATTTATTTTATGTCTTAAAAGCACTGCATTGGGATGCACTAAAATCTTTACAACATCATTAAACATTAATGTTTAGCTACTTGAATCTAAAAGTAATTTAAGACTAAATCAGTAAAGCTAAATTAAGTATACGAATAGTTCCGAAGTATTTATTTCATTACAGCCAATTGCTTGGTTTATACCAAACAGCTTTCTAGTATGCACAACTTTGTTAATTAAAAGTTAACAAAGCTATTGTCTAATGGTGGTTTATCTGCGTCACTTCTGTTGAGACTTGATATCTGTTTGCAGATTTTGTATTTATGGTACCTATAAATTGTTAATTAATTAACAAAATTAGTATTCTATTCTTTAAAAAGGGAAGAAGTAAGAGTGAGGTAGTGGTATTATAACAGTAATTAGTTATGTTAAGAATAAACTCAATTATGTACCTAAATCAATAAATGGAGTCAGTGTCATAATAACCCTCTATATTTCTTATAAATATGTCATGCATGATGTTCAAATATAATTGATATAGTTTAAAAATATGCCTTAAATAATAACAGAAAAAAACTGCGATCAAAAACAAAAACGGTAAAAGTTTTTTACGCCACAATCTATCCATTTAGTAATCGTAATAAGTCATCCATCAACCGCTTAGGCATCACAGTAATGTCCGACCAAAAGCCACAATCAAATGACCCGTTGAAACTTTTCTAAATTGCATACGAAATGTCTTCCACAGACTTGCGGGGTCCGACGGCTATTACTTACAACGCAATATCAAATTGCTTTCAATTTATTTCGCAATTGCCGTCTTTGAGTTTCGCTTTGTAGGGGCCTCTGACGTCGGTCCGAGGCAACAATAAAATGTATTCGTCTCCGGAATGTCTAATATGGGGAAAAGTTTAATAACGCGTCCGGGCGGGCGGCGAGCTAGCGGCCGGCCGACCAGCCGCTTTGGCCGGCCCACTGCTATAAATCAAATCTCTTACCTTCTACGTCGCTATGAGAAAAATCCTTATTACATTCGAAAACGTTTTCTTTGAGTCCAAATACAAAAAATAATAATATCCAATTATATTCACTGCTTTACAAACCTCGTAGACAATAGACAAGAATGAGTACATACATAGATATTTATACCAAATCTATATTACGTTTTAATAAGCATTAGGAACTTTGTTTTAATAGTGAGTTTTAGTAGCTATAAATCCACTGTGAAAATGAAATGATACATACAGTAAGTAATATTTGTACGTGATTGAGATTTCTCATGAGGCTTTTCGGAATTAGCCCAAACGGAGTGCAGTGGTGCGGGCGGTCTATGGCTCTCATTTATTGGTTGGTTATTACGAGTAATTTATAAGCCAATGAAATGAATTCAGCGAAATCACTTACACTTCGCAATTCCGCACGCGAGCCCTGTTGCCCAATGTAAATGAACCATTACGTTACACATCATTAATTGGAGAGGTACGTCGTGTTCGTAAACACTGTTCGGGCGAAAATGACTTAACTTCTTAAAAACCTATGTAATACCTAATATAATAATTACATAAGTTTTTAAAATGTAAACTTTTTAACTCAAGTTTTATGCGTGCATATCGATTTCACCCAAATATTGTTTACGACCTATTTACCTTGAAGTAGGTATTGATACATACTCTAACAACACTACACGACTGAAAATCTAAAAATACTTTTTGTTAATCTTATTACGTTTCAAAACTCCCGCATGCGTAACACACAAAAGCTCTTAAATGTATAGGAACGCAGTAAAAAGAGGATGTTTGAAGAAGCACCTATCTATGAGGGTTCGCCATGTCGGCCCCTGAGGCACCATGGCGTCGCATCATTAGCAAGCGACACCTGCGAGCATCATCCCGTCTACTATTACATATCCCTGGAAAAGTTGTCGTAACTACAATATTATCGCGAAATCCTTTGTTGTTCCTCGCAAGTTGAAGAATGTAGTCTCAAATAAAAAACAGCAATGTATGTTGTACAACGCAATTGTGATGTATATCGTAGTAAGAGATTGGGTTGTAATGTGAAACAGTATGACTGTGGCTCATCAAGCCAGCAACGGAGCCGGCCTGAGCCCACCGACGACACAATGGCTCCCTGACGTTAATTAAATGTTAACAAACGCCCTCGTCGCCTAATTGGAACTGTTGCCTATTATCCTTACCTTCCGACACGGAGAATGACTTCCAAGCTCGAGAATACAGAAGACTACTTCAGAATACTTACGCGGGATTCTTCAAATTAAGTGGAAGTCAAAGTTCAGTTCCATTTTTAAGCAACGCAATTATACCTTTCAAATTACTTATGCTTGAATAAGTTAAAACAAATAAGTAATACAGGTTTTAATCCTGCCAAACTACGTTTTCAATTCTGTAAATAAATAAGATACCAGGAGTATAACGTTACGTTAAATATAACGTTGATACCACTCTCTAAAGTAAATTTAAAATTTACTTTGTAGAGTTGTACCAACAGATTTGGCACTAATATCCCAATTTAAGTTAATTTAATGTTATTTCTTACTTTAAAAGGTTAATTTTTATAACAATTTAATTACAAGTTTCGAATCATTCGAAGGGCTCGAGATGCTTCCGAAAATATTTACTTGTATGTTCATATTACATTAAAACTGACGTTTGGTGAGTAGCAACCAAGTGATATGAAATGATTTATGAGCAATCATAGTTTCTAACTTCTTCTTCTTTTCGTATTTAAATATCGTAATTCTACCAAATAAACAACCCACAGTTCTTTTATTAAAAATTAGACCTTACAATTTAATAATTAAATAGAGTTGTAAAATGAAACTTTTTCATGGTTTCAATATTTAAAATCACAACACCCTCTTTTTTTACTTCACTTCGCTCGTGTAAAAAATACCTGATAAACAAACGCAATAGCTACAGCCCAACAACTACTATATAGAAATACAGCCGGTTTCTGAGGTAAAATTTCATTAAAATTTTAGATACTAAATTTTAAGTTTTAAATGTGAAATAATAAAAAAAAAACACCTTTACTGCTAACGATTCAAACTACAAAATAATGTACACTAATATGATATTTTTTCCTATGTATTTGCGTTCTCTAGGAATATTTAAATTAAAGCTAATGCCTTGTCCTAGTATATTGGAATTTTTTTCACTATTCACTCTTTTATTAGGAGGTTCCTATGTTCAGCAGATTATTTTGAACACTATGTTTGTATTTAATCTCATTTATACTACCTATCCTCTATGGTTTCCGGAGAACTATGAAACCTCACTTTCTCTTGTTGGAAAACAAATTGAAAAAATGTGATATTTTATAGTTTTTATAATATTTGTTTATTATATCCTATTCAGATATCCAATCGAATACCTACTTACATCATTAGATTCCTTCAGGAATTCTGTAGATGAATTTTCTTAAAACTAAAACAATGAGGAAGTATTAAAAAAAAAACGAAAGCACTAAAAAGCACCTCCACTAGATGGCAACTCTAGCAAAAGTCGATTTTGCAGGAAACGAATGGACCGAAGACAGTCTTTTCCGTTACTCTTAACTAACATATTAAAAAAATGAAATTTGGAAAGTTCGGAACTTAAATATGAAAAAGTACAAATAAACAACTCATATTGAGTTGTTTATTGAGTTTTGAAAACTAATTTACTTTAAAACTCGAAAGAAAACCGGAAAGGTTGTCATGGAGAAATCAAGAACGTACCCTAGCGACATCTAGTTTGATTTCGGGAACTAATGTTTTTTTAATACTTCCTCATTCTTTTCCAAGTCGACGCTGGTTGACGCTAGGCTGTAGAACCATTCGAGCCATCAACTAGACTATAGCCAAATCCGACGAAGAATGTTTATTAACAAAGCGTTGCCCGGCAACCACTGTCAGGCGTTAGTATATAAGTACATTAATAACCTTTCTTTAGTCTGATCGAAGTTTATACTACACAACATTCTAATTGTTTATTTCGATAGGGACATATGAATTCAGTAATCGAATTATCTTATTGTAGTGTTTCGAAAATTACCTAATCTTTGTAATTTATTGTGCAATGTGTTAACAATACAAGGAACATTATATGTGAAAACAAAAACCAGTGAAAAATCAATTCTTTTATATACAAACCAATCGCAAATGTAAAATAAAATCTTAAATATAAAAAATCTCCAGAAAAATGTTTTAATGTAATTGATAATTTTATTTAGAAAGTTAGTTCAAAAATGCGAAAATGTTTCAAATATCTGAATTCTATAAGTTATAGGACCGACAATGAAGTAAAAATAATTTCAGCTTTATTGCTATTTTCCATTTTCTCTCGAAATATTGAAGTTTTGTGAGTGTTTCTAGTAATATATAACAAAAAAAAAATTATTACTCGGTAAATTATGAACTTGTAAGAATTATAATGGGGAAGGTGTGGTTCTATTGGATGATGGATGCAGTATCCTGGTATGAAATATAAGTTTTATATAATTTTTGTCATCTGAATTATAGGTATAATTTGACTTGTTTACATTTATTCTTCATCGAATTTGGCTGGACTTTAGGCTCGCCGCGATTTAATAATAACATTGTATGTCATATCGTTCAATATCGTTGTTTATCACATAGAATGTTCCATGATAAGTTTGGAATTTCACTTTAAATAAAACTAAAACAACGTGGATGAATGATCGAAATGCCTTTGTTCAAAAAAACAGCTAGTGTGGATTAATTGTCAATGTCAAAATAAAATGAAGAAGTGGATTTTTATTTAAAAAAGTAATTAAACGAAATAAACTTTAAAGATAAATATTGTTGTAAGTAAAGTGTTGCTAAGTAAATGTAACATTAAGATCAAGTATGGCGCAATTTAGACCTGCGGGATTATCAGATGAAGAAACTGACAGTGATGATTACGGGTTCTACGAAAAGCCGGTAAGCATGTCTGCATTTGTTAATAAGGGTCTCAAAAAATATAGCAAGATTTAGAAAAAAGTCAAAGTTACGATATCGATTATTTTCCTCTTCAATAAACCAGTGTTTAAGCATCACTAACTTTGCAAGAAACTTGAAATATTTCGTACTTTTTAATGTTATTTAATATATAGATTTTTTATTAAATCAAACATAAATGTTTCCAGGTAAGAAGATATCCTGCACAACAACAGAATGTTAGAAAAACTCTTGAAATCACATTACAAGATTCAATTATAAATGGACATATTCAAGAAGTTGAAAAAATCATAAACTCAGGTACCATTTTCATAAATTATAATTTGTCCAGAGAGGTATTTAAAGATTCAAAGTGATAGATTTGAAAAATACCATAAAAAAATGTGATGATAGACTACCTATCATTTCTTGACATTTTTGTGTACTTTCAGAATATATGTATGTCACCCTATGTATGCTACATAACACTAACTCAAATAAAAACAGTGTTTGTAATGTTAGACTTGACATTATTTTAGTAAATTTCATTTATTATACTGAAAGCAACTATTTATCACCAAAAACTCAAAATGAGTAATAATTATACTTAAGATAGGATCTCTCGATGTGCACACATATTTATTTTCAGATGGTGCACTTATACAAGTAGGTTTTCAGGTTGCTAAATATCACTGTTTTGCAGTTATTATACTGGATTTCTACTAGTTAAGTTTAAATTTGATACTGATGATACATACATATTCTAGTCTAAGTAATTGTCTCTTTTTTGATTACAGATTTGAATAAAAATGTAAACATGAAGTTAGATAGTGGTTGGACTCCCCTGATGCATGCCTGTTTCCATGCTCAAGACAAAATTGTGGAACTCTTGCTTAATCTAGGTGCTGATCCAAATTTACATGCAGGTTAGTTTAAGCAAAAGTAAACTTAATATGTAATTAAAGACATATTAGACCTTTTTATTAATATTTGTAACTGTCTTAATCCAAACATAAGGATAATTAATAAGGTCTTATTATCAAAGCTCTTAGGATTGTTTGACATTCAATAAATATTAAAAATTGAAGCTTTTATCTATACATTTTGTTAAATAATATTTATTGTGTAGATTGCAATGTTGCAATATTGAGTGATTATAAAGTATTATTAAAATGTATAATATTAAAACTAAATCTTTTAATTTGCTATAAAAATGAAATGAATGCTATTTCTCATGTTTTAGTAAAATTTTAATTTGTTTGATGTTTATTATGCAGACTCTGTGACTCCTATTATGGCAGCATGTTCAAACAGCACTGCAAACAAAGACACCATATTTAACATTATCACTATGTTGCTAGAAAAGAATTGCATTCTTAATATTGGTGACAAATATGGTCAGACTCCACTAATGCGAGCCATAAGCAGTGGTTGTGTTAATGTTGTTAAAAAGTTGTTAGAAGAAAAGGTTAATATTGAAATGAGAGATCAGCAAGGTTGGACAGTAAGTACAGATAATTTAACATACCTTAGAATCAGTTACACTCTGTTCTCAATAATAAATGAATAGTGCTCAAGTGTCAATACATTTTGTACGTATTTGATGTCAAATTGCATTAAAATATGGATTGACAATTTACATGGCCACCAGTTCTAAGGATTTAGTGGCATTATTTCGACATGGTAGTTAAGCTGAATTTTGATGACTAGCTTTGAATGTGTTTAAAGGTTTTATGTAAATAAAATTCTATCTATAGAACTCTACAGAGGTTTTAAAAATATTGACCTATTACAGAAAGAATCTAGTATGTTTTTTCTTTTAATTCTTTGACTCATCTGACAAAGTTTACAGGCATTGTTTTGGGCAGCCCACCATAATCAACCAGAAATTTTAAAAATGCTCATTGAAAATGGTGCAAGACTTACGGAAGTTGATAAATCCAACAGGACTGCGTTAGATATAGCAATGTCACATGAATATCAAGACATCCTTGAAATACTAAATCAACATTTGAAGACTGATGATGATGATGATAATGATGAAGAGAAAAGTTTTTACAGTAATCAGTTTAGGTCCTGGTTTGATTATTATCCTGGCATGAAGAAAGGAGATAAGTATGTTATATTTGCTTACAATATATCACCAAATAAAGATAGCAATTATTTTTGGAAAAACTTTAAATCATGCATAGAGTCTAGTTCTAAATATTTTTTTAAATTAATTATTTAAAAATCCATTTGAAATTTTGCTAACACTTATGGCACTACCGTTGACAAGTGTTAGTGTAACGTTATATTTTGTCGAAACAAGAGCTAATAGGATGACGTAAAGTCACACTCATTGAGATACACACACGTATGCACGTGTAAATACTCCTGTGTTATCCCTTGAAAATGAAATCAGACTATTCTACAAGCATAAAATATTAAATAAGATGTTACATTTTCTATTAATGGAAATATAACATACCTTACCCGATAACTTGCATGGTAATTATTTCCTGATAATTTTTGCTGTCACTAAACTTTGAAACTTCACATTTCTTTCCAGACCAAATTATGCTGGTGAAATTTCACACTTATTGTATGGAATGAACTGTGAAAGACTGACGCCTCTGATAGAAAAAAGTGGAATGGATCTTAGAACCTTTTTGCTTTTAGAAGAGGATGATATGAAGAAATTAGGAATTGATATGCCCTACGAGCGACAAAGGCTAAAAGTTGGCCTAAGAAATTTCCATGTTAGAGGGTGGAAATTAAATGCTGTGGCTGGCTTGTATGCACGAAAAATTGAAAATTTTACGTAAGATATTGTTCAAAAACACTATTTGTCTTATCTATGTTTATATCGAATAATCTTTAATCAGAAGTCAAAAAATCTTATATGTTTATACAAATTGGTTATTGTAATTGTTATTATTATATGTATTATACAGTACAGTCCAACCACAATGCGACAAGGTTTAAAGTCGATTATGAATATATTATGCTTTTTAGTAACACCATGGACATTTTGTCTATTGAGGTCACTTCCTCATACTATTTCATACTCTCTTTTATTTAACATTTAGGCATGCCCCCAGGAATGCCATTCGAGGTCCCCCTCACGGACCCTCTCCCCCGCCGAATGCCCAGGGACAACCTGTGGGGGAGAGACCAAAACCCTCTTAATCTATTATCCCTAGAATCTTTTAACCTAAACCTACTTCTAAATTTTACATTAATCATTTCATAATCAAACTTAATTAACTTGTTGACTTTCAGAGTATTAGACTGCCTTACTTCGCTAGGGTCTCATCTGCAACAGATATATATTTTAGAAGCTACCTTACAATATATATTGAGAGAATACAAGAAAATCCAAAATCAAATTAAGTTTGAACCACCCGATTCTCCTTTGATATTGAAATTGAAAACAACAGCGAAAAAAATTCTTACCAATATCAATAGTATAAGACAAGAGATAAAAATTATGAAAAGTGCTCTCATAAAGGTAATTAAGCTTTCAAAGATATCAGTAACTAAGTAATCTAAATTAATAAATTACATATTTATTAAAATTAACTTTCCCCATCCACCTTTTTTGCTGCAGAAAATACGTTTTAAAGCACAGTTAATAAAACAAATAATTGTGCTTTCTTAAAATCCATAAATTATACTTCTGTTTTTCTGTATCCAGAGATAAAGTATTTCCGTTGGGTTTTATGATACAAGTTAATCCAACTCCTGTGTATTTTATTTTTCAGATAAATAGAAACAATCCTCCTCCTGCTGATCTACTAAAAGAAAAAACATCACAAGAAATAGCTCTGGGCTATGTCACTGAAGTCCTAGTCGCTTTCTCTCTCGGGTTTCTAGCTTATCACGCTAGAAACTACATCTTAAATTTAATTAAGAAGTAGATAGGTATTTGTAACAATTTTCTTATTATATCTTATAATGTTTAAGGGCATTTTTTATTGCAAAATTTATTGCAGCAAGAAAGTATTCTTGCTATGTTTGACAAGTTAAGGCCATAAAGATAAAATCATTTACTTGCGAGATGTAAAGAAAATTAATTTTAATTCTGCCTTAGATAAATCTGTTATCACCCTCAGCTGTTACTATTGTCGTGTTTTATGCCTGGATTGACGTGGACTATAGCACTCGTGATGCTATTTTGTACTTGTATTTAATTTACTCGCTGCAACTGCTGCATATTGGGAATCTGTCTGTCCAAATTGGTTCCTACTTTTCACCCATGCATCCTCTGCATATTTGGATTAGGGTAATTACCCAGAAGTAATTACCAGGGTAATTACCAAGAAGAAGTAACCCTCAATAATTAATTAATTATTGAGGGTTACTTCTTCTTGGTTCAAACAAACAAGCTTGTAGCAGATGGACTGTAGACTGGATTATCAAAACGGGCAGGTAGCAGAGGTCGCAAAGTAAAACACTTGGTTCGGAGAAACTCGGAGAACGTTCGAAGGCAGAACATGCTTTATTGCGAAAAATCGATTACTTAAGTACAATTTGATTGCTCGCACTTATCTCATATATAAATCAGTTATCTTATAAGATTTCTTAGAGTGGGGATATGCTACCCCGCATCGCGCGGGGAGGGGAAGGTTTCACTGTTTTCCCGCTGGTGGCGCTATTGTCGCGACGTGGCTCGATGTCCTTTACAAAGCTTAAACTCTAAGTTTCAAGAAACAAGATCGAAAAGATATAGTCACATTAAGACTCAACAAATATGGCGCATAGTGAATCTTTATTTGCGCAAAGCAGACTTACCAATTCAGAGTATGACCGAATGTACGATTATAGTGTGTCCGTCTCACTGTGCGGGGCGGGGATCAATCGCGTGGATTTTGGGGGAATCACCCGATGGGGTGATACTTGAATCATTCGGATTGTCTTATATCCGGGTCCTTATAATATTATTTTGAATATTATGCATGTGAAGCCTGTTATTTAATTTGCCTTCTGCCCTATATATATATATATATTTTTTTTAATGAAAATAGGTATTTATGCTTTAAATTAATTTTTATGTTAGATAGATAGATAGATAAATTCTTTATTTGCATTACACAAAATTTTACAAAATATTCCATAAATTATTAAGAAAGAGAAATAATTAATAGTAGAGAACAAGATGTAACTAAAAACAAGACAAGTGTACCGCAGCGATGCAAATGGGCGAAAACTCGGTATTTACTCAAAAAGCAAAGCACTGATTTTCCGTTTTTACCCTAATTACAAGTGGTCGCACTGTAAATAAAAAAAAAATTCAAGAATTCACAAAGAAATTGATAATAGAACTACAATACTAACCAGACACTACAATAATACTTATAAATACTTACTAACTAAAGTATGTCATAAACGTATAAGATATATAGATTTATAAAATAAATAAATAGATAGTAATACCTATTATTAATTCCTTTCATTTGTCAAGATCATTCAGAGTCACAGAGTAATCGTTAATAATACTATTACTACCGCCATCAAGCGACTAATTGCCGGGAACTTGATTTTTTAGCAATATAGATCTCAAATGCATTTTAAAAGTTCGTCTACGTGTCTACCTATACCAAAAAGGATAATTGAACTTACACATGGAATTTTATTTCTGACTGGCACATATAATTCAACGTGCAACATATCAGACTAATCAGTTTCAGCCAAGGCAGCATAAATTTCCCGATAGTTTGCCTTCCTCCAATTCCAATTCGGACAAGTGTCCGGGCGTATGTTAAACGATTGAGAGGTCTGCGGTGAAGACACCGCTGGAATTCCTATTTTGGTGGTTTGACGAGACGGGTGATATGCATCAATTGGTACTAATGTCACCTGATCAGATACAAAATCGCTCAGCACAAGATCTAACATACCATCAAATTCATTTAATATTCGTTTGTGTTGATTCAGTTTACAGAGGTCCAGGAAGTGACCAAATTGTGTTTTAACATTTACACCAAACGAACTTAAATTGAAATCTCCAAAAATCAACTCATTAAATTTGGGATAACAACAAATTACGTTTTCTATGCAAGTCAAAACATTTAAATACTTTTTGTTACTATATCTAGATTACTGCATTAGCTGTCGTTAATACCCTCCAATCCGCATTGGGCCAGCGTGGAGGGTCATGGCCCATCCTCCTTGACCATCCATAAGGAAGGCCTGAGCCCCTGCAGTGGGGACGTAAAAGGGCTGATGATGATGATGATGAACTAGATAGAAGATACGTATAGGGGAAGTACGTACAAAATGACATATATGGATAAAATGACACACCATGTGTTTTTCGAAATTGGCGGGCGGAAACGCGACCATCGACATCACATCATGTGACGTCGGCCATTGTAGCAATCAAAAATCTGTCGTCCTCGACTCAGTCGCGAACGAGTTACGGGTACAAACGTGTTTCGTGGGTCTAAAAGTTTTTTATTGTGCTGATTTTCTACACATTTCATGAAAGTTCTACATTATTTTCTTTTAATGTTAATACTTAAATCGATGCAGTATACCATTAGGTTGTGATTTAAGGTAAAATATATTTAAAAAAATAATGATTTCAACAAAGTGAGCTTTTATTTTATTTTTTCTATGCCATCGGACAAAATGACATATTCAAGCTCTGGACAAAACGAAATAGTATGTCATTTTGTCCGTGCGTTTATATTAGATAATAGGAAGTTTGTTTTATTTTTAGGTAATTTAAAAATATGCCGCGCAATTATAAACGGAAATCTCAACGTCAAACATGGAGTAGCGAATCCATGCAAAAGGCGTAGAAGCTGTTCAAAAAAAGAAGATCACACCACACCAAAAGTCTTTGACGCTAACAGCCACCCCGACTCCAGAGCCAACTTCAGCTACTAGAGCTCAAACGTTCAACAGACCTCAGGTTTCAAAGTTTTTTGAAATTTATCAAGATGTTATGAGTAAATTCACTTTGGGACCACACAGAATCTACAACGTTGATGAGTCAGGTTTATCCACAGTACAAAAACCTCAGAAAATATTAGTTACTTAAGGCAGAAAGCAGGTTGACGAGTGCAGAAAGAGGCATGAATGTTACAGTGATCTGTTGTGCAAATGCTGTTGGTTCATTCATCCCTCCGTGTATGATATTTCCAAGAAAAAATATGAAAAATGAACTTATAGATGAAGCCCCTTTTGGAACTTTAGGGTTGGCTCAAGAATCAGGATGGAGTAATACAGAAATATTTTTAAAACGGTTGAAACACTTCCAAGCTCATACGAAATCAAGTAAAGATATTCAAGAATATTCATATTTAATGCCTACCTCCACATTGCACACATCATATGCAGCCAATGGATGTAAGTGTCTTCGGTCCTTTGAAGACATATTTTCATCAAGAAATATCAAAGTGGTTAAAAAATCACCCAGGTCGTGTAGTGACCCATTTACAAATAGGATATTTATTTAACCAAGCCTATGGGAAAGCAGCTACTGTGCAAAATGCCAGCAATGGTTTTAAAAGTTCGGGTCTGTGGCTGATAAATCCAGACATTTTCCCAGATTACCTCTATGAACCTGCTGAAACAACTAATATTCCATTAAACCGAGATAATACGGAAAATGGTGATGCAATCGATGCTAAACTGCTAGCTACCACAATTGGCAGTTCATCTGCAGCTGGTAACCCAGAAATTCACTCATCTTTTAGCCCAGTCCCAGGAACATCTGGTCTTGAACTTCGACAGGAAACGGCATATGATTCAGACATGAAACAAATGCTGTTTCCTGTAGAAGTTCTATCTCCAGCACCACAAGGAAAGAGAAAGCAAAAGAATTCGCAATTCTCATTTACTCTTAACTTCTACTCCTAATATGGACGAAGTTAAAGAAAAAAATGCTCCAAAAATTCCTCATGAAAAGAAGAAACGTCAAGTAACAAAGACTTTATTCGATGAGGAATCAGACACCGAAGATAACCAGTTCATAATCGATTCGTTGATAACGACGATAATTGCGCGTTCATTTATTGTAACGATTTATTTTCACGTTCTAAGGCTGGCGAAGACTGGTTGAAATGCATGAAGTGTGGTCTCTGGGCCTATGCATCATGTGCTGATGTTCCGCGCAAGATAAAAAATTTTGTTTGTGAACTATGTGCTTAACTTTATTTCTATGTCATTATGTCCATGAATATTATGTCGTTTTGTCCGTATAGTATGGACAAAATGGATTTTTCTACTTTTGTTGATTATGCTTTGTTGATCTCATGATAAGGTTCCTATTTGATTGTTTATTTAAATTATTGTAAGGCAAATAACCAGAGACGATTATAAAATTAAGAGACTGATTCTAATCGTAATAGTTACAAATAAATAACATGACAAAAAAATAGAATGTCATTTTGTATGTACTTTCCCTACGTATTACATAACACAATAATTTTTCAGTTTTACCTTTTATAATTACACATATTAATTCCTTATCCCTCAATATCGGTGATGATTTTGAATGACTAGCAATCTCGTACCACCAACAAAACTCCCTACCTGTATCACCAAAACGGTCATTACGTGCTCCTTTGTATCCCGTAGGAAAGAGTTCGCCGTCATATACAAAGCTTTTTAAGAATGTTTCTGTAAGTGTAACATCAAATTTATATTTACTAATATTATTGCAGAACATTGTAGTCTTCGAGCGCAGGCCGCGCACATTTTGATAAATAGTGAAGTAGTTTAGTACGTTTATTATCACTGTTTCTCTTTTTTGGCACGAAAGTTCTGGCGTCATGGTTTCATACAAATATCTTTCGGCCTATTATAAAGACACAGAAATCTGCTCCGCTAGGTTAACGGGCACCCCTAACTTAAACGACGCGTAGAGTGCTTCGGACCTTTAGTTCTTCAACAGAATACATTTTCACATAACTTCACCAGATGGCTGCACACTTGCTCAATTGTAGTTCTTTCT